TCGATCTAAAAATAAAATGATAGATAAATCTAAATCGATTTAGAAATAAAATGGTAGATAAATCTAAATCGATATGAGATTGCTCGTAAGCAGCGAATAAAGCGGCGAATAAACGAAACGATGGGGAAGAAGGAGAAGATCGTGAAAAAGGGGGTTGAAACCGCGTGCCGATAGTCGACAACGACAAACTTTCGTCGTCATCGTCGTCGTCGTCGTCGTCGTCGTCGTAGTAGTCGTAGTAGTAGTCGTCGTCGTCGTCGTCGTCGTTACGATCGATCGAAATGCGACGAATGTTTACGCTCTCTCGACGCGGGCCGCGCGACCGAAGAAGAAGCCATTGCCCCCTTCCTTCTTTTATCTCGCAATAGGAGAGCATTTATACGTCAATTAATTACCAATAATCAAACGCGTCTGATCGTACGATGAATCTCAATGTCTCGAGAACTCAACTTCTTCGAGTACTATCAAAGAAAATTTCGATGATCGAACATTTACTTGTACTATTATATTTACTATGACGTATGGATAAATAAAAAAAAAAAATATATATACATATATATATCGATCGAAACAATAATTCGTAGAATTTTATATATATATATATATATATTTATTTATTTATTTATTTATTTATTTATTTATTTATTTATTTATTTATCTATTTATCGGATAAATTGTTTAAATAATAAAAAGACAATTAAAAAACGATATAATATCGAGATCTATCGTTGCACAATGTTATATCATTTGTACGTATGTATAATACATATATGATTGAATATTGAATTTTATAATTTAATAGATTCTATTCGATTTAATGCGTGCTATTACAATATTTAATATCATGATGTATTTAAACATGATTAATTATAAACGGTGATACATTATATATGGTATATTCATTGATCAATACTCATTTTGACATGGAATAATATAAGCGAGTTACGATTTGAAAGAAGTATCCTCTTTTTTTTATTGTCCTTTTTTTCGTTCTCTTAATTTTTCTTCTTTTCTTTTTTTTTTCTTTTTTTTTTTTTTTTCTTTTATTTCCTTCTCCCTCTTTTCTTTTTTATTCTTTTATTTTTCATTCCTATCTTATTTTTCTTTAATTCACTTTTCTTCCGTAAGGAATACACGGACAATATATGTGCGTCGTTACATTTAACATAATATTTTACCTACATTTTCTGTAATATGGTACTCAAGGATACATAACATTTTTCACTGGGTACATATTAATTTTAATGAGAAATTAATTAATTCTTTCAAATTTTTCCTATACGATAATTATTCCTG